CCTACCCTTCTATTTTTACAATAAGGGTCTTATGCAGTATTTTTCCTTATGTACAACCCCCTTTTTTATTTACTGCAGGCTGTGGTTGTTCATAAAGGCATGTTAGACTTCCATCTTACTTGTTTTTTATTGTTGTTTTGGACCTGTCGAGTAGGAACCAGTCCAAAGCTGACCCTCTGGCAGGTTTTCAGAGGTAGTTAATTGCACGAGACACAATTGCCCATCCTTCTCCCACAGAGCAGCTTACTCTGATATGAGTAAATTGTATGGTACTTCTCCCTGATAAGAAACGGTCATATACACACACACTTTATTCTGTCCATGAAGCCCATTGATGTGTGTGCTTTATGCATCAGAAATGACTGCCAATTTTTTTTCTTTCTCTTAATTCATGGTAAGAGTTGTGCTGCTAACAGTTTCTGAGTCAACCAGCACCTCTGCAAGAGAAACATGGACGGTCCCCTTCAGTGCAATTTACAGCCCCCACAAACCCACTGGAGAGTCAGCTATGAGTTGGTTCTGAGGTTGTTTTGAGTCCAAGCACATAATGATGTTCTGTGTGAATATGAGGGCCCTTGGTCACCATGCTTATCCATGATCACTTAGGAGATTATGGTCTTATCCTTTCCATACAACCATGATCATTCAGAGCCTCCTACAACCCAGAGTTCCTGAGGTTATAGTGAGAAACTTTTGCAATCATCTCCTTGCTCTATTGTGATATAGGGTGTTAGTGCTTTAAATGAAGATTGTAAATCCATTGTTAGAGGGAAAGATTAGCTAAGTTTTGGACTAGGGGCCCAGGAAGTCATCCCAAAGAATGTGACACTGACACTGAATTTCTTGCACTTTGTTTTTACAGGTTTTCATACAATCATCCATATGCTTTGTGTTGTATATAGTTAATTACTATTTATAAATAACTTTTATCACTCTTTCTTATCACATCCCTGTGGCCCCTGGCCTGTTCTTTCACCACCCGCACCCAGACACTCATCTCTGCTGACCTGTGGTGTTGTTCCTCCCCTGCCCCTTTGTCCACCCTGTGTCTTCTCTTCCTCTTCTCCTTTTAAACAATTACACATATCTGTTCACATTTGCTAATTAAAATAACCATATTGTCTTTATGCTAATTCTTCCCAGATTGATCCTTGCTTGGCCTGGTCCTTTACCATGTTCATTGTATATTCTATTTCTCCTCTCTTTGTCTCCGCCACCCCATCCCCTTACCCATTTATCCTCTTCTGTTTTCATTGTAGCAGTCTTACTCAGTATTTGTCCTTTTATGACTAAGTTCTTTAACTCAGCATAATGTCTCTAGAATCACCCATGTTGAATAGTATTTCATGATTACTTCATTGTTCTTTAGTGCTGCATAGTATTCTATTGTGTGACTATAACACACTTTATTCATTCCTTCACTGATGGTCATTGGACTATTTCTGTCTTCTTGCTATTGTGACTATTGCTGTGAGGAACATAAGTGTACATATTTCATATCATGTTTTGAATCTGTTTTCTTTGGGGCTATATTCTTAGTGCTAGAATAGGTGGGTCATACGGCTTTTCACCTTTTTGAGGAAACTTTAGACTACCTTCCACAGTGGTCTACCATTTTGCAATCCCTCCAACAGTGCACGAGAATTCTAACCTCTCTGCATCCTTGCCAACATCTATGTTTGCTGTCATGTTAAACTTTGCTATTGTTGCTGGGTGAGATGGTATCTCCTTGTTCTGATCTTTGCCTCTTTAGTTGTGAAGCTGAATTTTTAAGCATCAGTGAGCATATGACCTGTCATATGAAAGTTACAATGGATGCAAAGACATGGAGGCCAAGAGAAATGGCAGGTAGTAGGACAGACGAAGGTGTCTTGGGAAGGTTGGCTTGTGCAGGTCCTTAACTGCTCTGCTAAGAGAATTTTGTTATAAACAAGAAAGGCTATTGGCATGTTTTAAGTTGGGATATGAAACTTAACATCTGGGAGAGATGGACAGAATGAGGATGGGGAGGAGCTAACTAGAACTGATTATGTTTATGAAGAGCTGATGTGAGCTTTCTGTTGTTCCAGGTATCTGATCCCCTGCAACCACATGATGCTGAGCCAAAGGTGGGCTGTGAAGGAGAGAGACTGTTACTCTGTCTCTGCTGCCAAGCTGCTCGCCCTGACCCCAGTCTGCTGCTCCAGCGGGATCACGCTGACGCTGGGGAACCAAGAGAGGGATTATATTCTCTGGTCAAAGTGCACCCATGATAGCTCAGGTGATCATCATGAAACAAACAGATGTCTAATTCCCTCACTCTTCAGAGCATCTGTCTCTAAAGTAGACAGGAGTCAAGCAGTGAGTCCATTAATCAAGGGCCATTTCCTGCTACAGTAGGAGTTGTGGACAGTATGCAGTCAGTGTTCTTGAAGCACATGTTAAATGTCCAAGATCTTTATTCTAAGCGGATTTTCTTTTGGCCTCCTCGGAGCCCAATTGAAAACATGTACTGACATGTCTTCTAAGACAAGATGCAGGGAGAGACATGGTCAGCTATAGCTAAAATAAAATTAATCCCTATTTTACTTTCCAAAGTGACCTGTTGATGAATGAATGGCTTATCTATCATGCATATATTTTTATAAAGCTTGAATTTAGTAAGATGACAAATGATTTGATGCATTTCATTAACCTAGTGAGGAAGTCTTCACACTCTGTTTTTTACAGGAGTTCTGGTTGCTGTGTACTGTCTGCCCTCTATATCTCACCTCATACCAGAAAAATTTAAATTTAAATAACCATGTTTGTCAGCCTTGATTTTCTAGGAGTAAACTGGAGCATTGTGACTTTGGTGATAAAATAATTCAGTAAGAGAATTCTTTCCTGTGGCCACAATGAAAGTCCATTCTATCTCTATCCTAACATCCTCCCCTCTCTATCCATCTGCCCAGAGTGTAGCAGTCCTTTTACACAAAATACATTCGAATGCTGGCTACTTCACAGGGAAAGTTGGCAACATATTTGATAGGAGTATTTATCCTAGAAATTGATGTTGTCCTATGGATCCTTGATCTTTATGTTAGAGCATAATAAAGCATGGAAATGATTTTATGTGAGAGAATAACAACCTGGTTCAGTGTGGGCTAATTCCTTTTGGTACAGCGACTCTCTGTAGTCTTCCATCTTCTTTTGATGCTTCCTGTATCCAGTATAAATCCTTCTGTATTGGAACTCAAAGCTTGAATATTTTCTTGAGTTCTTTCTGTTTCAGAAATACCAATTGTATCCTTCCCTTATGGTTTTCTCATTCCAGGTCTTTGCTCATTTGGTTATAATACTTTATCTAATGGTCCCTCTGTTTGAAATCTACTTAGCTCTCTTACTTCCTCAAGTTTTCCTTTTAGTTTCTCTACATTCAAAAGCAAGGTTCAAAGTCACTTCTAACATCCATTTTTTAAGTATAGATGGTGATATTTTATCTCACATATTTGGGGCATGTCTCTGGAAAAAACATCATACGTGGACATGAAAGAGAAGAGTTGTAATGAAATAGATTGATGCAGTGACTTCAGCAACAGGCATAAGCTTAGCAGAGGCTGAAAATGGTGCAGGAGCAAGCAGAATTGATGTTGTTATGCTGTTCATGGAGTCACAGTATGTGGGGCTGACTCAGAGACATCTAACAACAACAACAGCAAAACAAACTGAATTATAAGCATACTTTCCTTTTAGGACATTTTACATTTCCTTATTCAGTAGTTATTTAAAAAAAATCTTTGTAAATTGATGTCCTGTTCTATATATTTAATTAAAATTATGTATTTTATATATTCTATAAAATATTTTATATATTTAATCTATATTTTAATATATATGCATACATTTTTTTTAAAGAAAGATTGTTTCAAGCATGATTCATTTGCTGTCCTTGCCTCAGAATTTAGAATGCAGATTAGCAAGTTTTTGTTGTTAGGTGCCATTAAGCATGTCCTTTGAATCATAGCAGTCCTTTGAACGACAGACCTGAACTTGGCCTTGGCCTTGGCCTTTGCACCCTCCTGGTCCCTGCCATGCTCAAGCCTGTTGTGGTAATCACTGTGTCCATTTATCTCTTTGAGAGTCTTCCTCTCTCTCTCAGACCCTCTGTCCTTCCCAGAATGATGTTTCTCTCCAGAGACTGGTGCCTCCTGAAAAGATGCTCAAAGTTAGTGAAACACATGTAACCATCCTTCCCTCCAAGAAGTCCTCTGATTGTATTTTCTTCATGACAGATTTGTTTGTTCTTTGGCAATTTGTGGTATATTCATTACTTTTTACCAAGAGTAAATCATTTGAAATCATTCAAAGACATTGATTCTCCTTCCGTCATCTTTATTTGCTCACTTATCTACCCAACTTTCAAATGAGTAAGAAGCAAATTGGAAATACTATGGCTGGTGTCAGATGCATTTTAGTCTTTAAACTGATATTGTTGCTCTTTAAAACTTTTATAGATGTTGTTGATTCCAGATTTCACAAATTAAACAAGTCTTTTGATTTCTTGATTGCTGCAATGATTTTTGAATGTTCATAATTTGCTAAATCCTTTTCCTGTATTGCCATGTTTAATCTTTTGAAGAATGTGCAGATCAAGATGCTGACTAGTAAGGGAAATTACCTTCTCAAGGTTACATAACTGGAGGGTTCTCTGATTCCAAATTGTATATCCTTTTCATTGTACTGATTCTGGAGTTTCCTAAAAAGAAATTCAATGGCACCAAGTGGATTCTGATGCAGAGCAGTCCTATTGAACAGAGTAGACTTTTCCTCAATGTTATGAACCTTCATGGATGCAGACTGTCGCAGTTTTCTCTCTCCGAGCCCTGGTAGAGTCAAACTGCTAACATTTTGATCAGCAACAAAATGTTTTAAATATTATACCAGCAGGGCTCCTTTATAGCTGCTTTAGAGAGGAAACATACCCTATGAACCAATTATTAGCAGTTTGAAAAAAAAATATTTTGCAATAGTTAAGAGATGTTGTTGTTATGTGCTGTCATAACACCTGTGACTCATAGTGACCCTATGTACAACAGCCCTGAAGCTTGCTCTGTCCTGAGCCAGTCTCACTGACTCCAACACACCTATTGCCTCAGTTACCATATCAACCCATCTCATCTGGAATCTTCCTCTCTTGCACTGTCCCTCCACCCTTCCAAGCATGATGTCCTTCTCCAAGGACTAGTCCCTCCTGGCCATGTGCCCAAAATATGTAAGACGGAGTTTCAAAATCCTAGCCTCCAAGGAGAAACTTAGTTTCTCCCTTTCCATGAAAGACTTGTTTGTTCTCCAGCACCACAACTCAAAGTCACCAATTCTTTTTCTGTCATCCTTAGTCATTGTCCACCTCTCTGAGGCATAGCAAGTAATCTCTCAACTGACATCATTGCTCTTCAGTACTCTGGAAAGGTCCCTGACAGCAGATTTTCCCAGTGCAGTTTGTCTGTTGATTTCCTGACTGCTGGTGCTAAGAGTGTTGATTGTGGAGCCAAGCATCCTGTAATAAGCAAGCTATAATTATTAACAACCTCAGTACACCTGAGAAGTTACTATTCTGAGCTATTATTTCTCTAATGACTGACAGCAAGTAACAGATTGTGTTGACTATAACCAGGATCTGGCTTGACCTATTGTTCTTTGAAACCTTCTATTACCACTCATTGCCAGTATCAGAGTAGAAATATACCATACAGTTTTTAGTGGCTGATTTTTTTGGGAAGTAGATTGCCAGGCCTTTCTTCCAATGCTTCTCTGTGTGGACTTTATAAGTCAGCCTCTCAGTTAGTCATCAAACACATTGGCCATTTGTACCGCTTAGGACCTCCTGTCTTTTGTTTGCATCCTTTTAAAAAATCTGACTGATTTTATTTCAGAAATTAGCACTACTAGAAATTAGCTGGTGAAATAGTGTCAAAAATGGAGTCAGTTACATCCTGTGTACTCTATTTGTCCCTATGCCTCTTAAGTATCAGGAAGGGGCCATTTCTGACTTGTTCCTGCTTTCCCCCGCAGGGTCCGTGGATCAGCCGCTCTCTGAGGCCTTCTCTCCATCAGCCTGCATTGTGGAGTACGGGAAGGCCCTGGACATCAGCTACCTGCAGTACCTCTGGGAGGCTCACACCAACATCCTCCACTGCATGAGGGACTGCCGTGTCTGGTCCGCCCTCTACGACGGAGAGTCTCCCAACCCAGAGACTTTTCTCCAGAACCTCTCGGAGGAAGGGAGTAGGAACTTAGCGTTTCCCGGGCTGACGCTCCAGCGCCCATTCACCATTAAGACAGGGTCTCAGCTGGCTCCGAGAAAGGAGAAGAACCAGACAGAGCTGGAGTGGGATGACAGCTTTGACACTGGAATCTCCTCAGAAGCTGACGGGAACTCCCCTGGGAATTATGAGACGATGGAGAGTTCAGGCCCCCCAGCGCCCATTGATCCTCCCAAACACATCCAAGAGATGAAGAAGAATGCCATCCTGCTCTTCAAAGGGTCCTATATTGAGGAATCAGACTTCCAGGATGATGTGATGGTGTACCGGCTGTGTGCTGAGAAGGATTGTGAGGATGGCAGGAATTCACAGGAGGCCAAAGTGGCACCAGACGAGGCTCAGACTAAGGCTCACGGGGTCCCCGAGGCTCAGGCTAAGGCTCACGGGGTCCCTGAGGCTCAGACTAAGGCTCACAGGGTCCCTGTGAACAATGGCCCGCTTCCCAGTCCCCAGCCAGAACCAGGCTCAGGAGAGGAATGTACTAGGGACGATGTAGAATTGTTTGAAACTGTGTCCAAGGAGCCAGCACAAGAGAATGAACCTGAAGTAGTAATCCCAGAATCAAGCCCGGAGTCAATACCCCAAGACTCTGAAGGAGAGCACACCTCAAGTGGGACTGAGATGAACCCAGAGAGCGAGGATTTCATCGCTCAGTATAATCAGATTATCAAAGAGCTGGATTCCGGTACAGAGGGCTTGACAGAACAGAATTGCCCCACCCCTGATCCTTTGCTTGTCACAAAGGACGGAGAAGGGAAGGAAGAAGAGAGCCAAGAAGAAGAGACGGAGGAAGATGAGGGGAGGAAGGAACTCGAGGAGGGCGAGGAGGAATTTGACTCTTTCATGGCACAGGCTCCTGCTGCAGAGACCGAGCCGTCCCCGTTTGGAATGAGAGACGAGGCCGCCTTTGCCAGTCAGCGCCAAGTGAGGTCCCCCAGCACCCCGTTCACAGGTGACAGCCTTAAATTACTTTGCAATTTCTGCTTTTAAAAGCGTGTGTGCACACTCGAGCAGGGAAGTGGAAATAAGGAACGTTTTTGTGAACAACAAAGGGAAATGATTTAATTTTTTTTTATTCTTTAAATGATTGTTTATCAATCTAGGGGCTACATTTTACTGTTTAATAACTTCCCTTTGTTTGCCTGTAATTAATAGCACTGACTAAGCTGTGGAAATCCAGTTTCATTGTTTAGCAGTCTCATTTCTATTCTTCTAATTATTTTTTTCTCCCTAGCATTTATTTTTAATATGTATTTGTAAAAAAGAATCTATGTGTTTCTCCCCTACTTCATCATGTGCTCTGACTAGTTAGTCTGTTCTCTCCTTGGTACCTGAACACATACATAGCCAGTGCTCAGTAAATACTCAGTGAATGAATGGAGCGCTGTGCCCCCATTGCAAGCCTGGCTTTAGGTGGAGCTGGGACAAGGCCAGGAAAACACTGGTGATTGGACAGATAAGCGTATAAATCACGCCCCTGATTCCCAGGAGGCTATGAAGAGCAAGGAAATCACCCCTTTATTGTCATCAGCCCACTGCTGGTGTGGACAGTGCTGCAGTCCCTCCTGTTCCCACACCAACTAGAAAGGTACCCACAAAGGTTCAAAATGGTACCTAGCTGTTTACAGTTCACCACTCCCATCAATCTCCTTCAACGTTTTCATCCAGTTCTTCTATCTCTTAGTGTTTGAACTAATTTATTTATATTTTATTGATTTATATTTTTTCCTTTGAAACTCAAGGTTTATCAACCTCAAAGTCTATCATACTCAAAGGATAGATCATCAACTATATGTGTTATCTTTGTTTTTTGGTGCTATAATTGAATAGAGTCTAGACTGCCATCTGTCTGAGTGGTCATTTTGCTTAAAAGGATGTGAAGCTGTGGAAGAAGCCAGTGATGCGGGTAGAAAGTGGTCCTGTAGCCAGGCCTGTGGTGCATCCTGGATCCAGTGTCTATTAACGCTATTTGCTCCAGTGTGGACTGAATCAGAGCCTGAGGAGGTCATAATTACTGTGTTTTTTTATAGGCAGTGTAAGAAGGGACTGTCCCTTTACTGTCTTGGATTAACACAGATTACCTTCTGGTCTTGCCAAGTAGGCAATTTCAAGGAGCTCTTTTATTCTCTTCCCCTGATATTTATCCATCTATTTTCTGATGCCTTGGAATCTATTTAAACAGCGAGAAAGCTTCTAATTCCACAATTAAGAGGCTCAAGGTTCTAGTTGAGATAACAATTTCAGTGTGAATGAGTTTTCATTAACATTTCATCAGTCCATAAGTAAAAAGGAGTAGATAATCTTGCTTTCCCCGGTTGATGAAACTAGGGGATGAGGAAGGGGGAAAGGACCCTGGCTGACAGGAGGAGGTGATGGGGCGTGGTGGGAGCAGGTGTAACCCAGCACCAGGACCAGTTCTCTTCAGCTGATTTCTGACTCATAGCGCTCACCTGTGTGTCCAAGTAGGCCTGTGCTTCCTGAGAATTTCAGGGCTTGATTTTTCCTAGGTGCATCACCACACCTTTCTTCTGGGGAGCCCCTGGGTGGGCTTGATCCTCCAGGCTTTCAGTTAGTAGCTGAGTGTGTGTGTTACCATACGTGCTCCCAGGAACTCTAGGAGTATGCAGTGTCCATGTATATGTGAAACATCGTTTCTGAAACTTCTGTGTTTGCTAGAAAAAAGCTAGCTTCTTTTTCTTCAGGTAATCCTGATTTCTAGTGGGATGAATTTGCTTCCCCACAGAATAAAAATATTCCATGCATCTACTTTTAAGAAAATCTATTCACACATTCAGCAATCTTTTATTGATCACCTAGTATTTGGCAGTGCTGTATGAGACACTAAGGAGCCCTGATGGCATAGGGTATTATGCATTTCTCTGCTGACTCAATAGACAGTTGTAATCCATCAGCTGCTTGGTGGGAGAAAGGTGGACAGTTTCCTTCAGTAAAGACTTACAGCCTTGGAAACCCAATGGACTGGATGACAGTGGGTTTGGTTTTGGATTTATATTAGGTTCCCAGGAGCCCTGGGGGCTTCTAACCTAAAGATGAGAAATTCAAACTCACTGCCTGCATCACAGGAAAAAGACGGTATAGTGTGCTCCTGTAAAAAGGCACAGCCTTGTAAATACGTGGAGGGAATTGTCCTCTGTCTTGTGAGGTTCCTGAGTCTTGTAGGCTTGGGTTTGGCTTATACTTGATAGTTCGCCCTCTCATTGGCATCTCACAGCTGACTCCTGTATGGAGTTCTTGAGACTGTAAATCCGGAAGGAGATTGCAGCTCCTGTCCCTGTGGATTTGAACTACTAGCGAGGCTCAGTTTTTGGGTTAGCAGCACAACTCCCTACGGACTACACCGCCAGTGCTTGCTGCTAGGTAGTTAGGCCCCCAAATGAGAGAATTCACACTGTTAGAGGGGACTTCAAAAAGGAACTGGAGTCTCTTAAGGAAGAGCTGTTGTGTGCCAAGTCTTACAGGAGTCTGGGGGAAGGGGTGGGAAAGACTTCACAGTTGTGGGGCATGAAAAATGGATAGAAATTCCCTGGTGAACATTTATGAGAGTGCTTTTCAGGTCAGAGGAAATGATAGCATGGCAGATAAAACCTGACAATGCCTGCAGTGTCTGGAGAAGAAAATGTCTAGAGTGGAATCAGTGGGTGGTGAAACTATGAAACTCTAAGCTGCTCCCCACAGGTTTGAGCTTTGAGCCAATGTAGAGGCCCCTTGGAAGAAAGGCCTAGCAATGGGCTTCTGAAAAGTCAACCCTTGAAAGCTCTTTGGAGTACACTTCATTCAGACACTCTTGAGCCATTGTGAGTCAGAATCAACTTGATATCAACTGAAAAAACCAACATTGAGAGGGAGCTCTGGTGCCCTAGTGGCAGGAAGCTGCACTGCAACCCCAAAGGCATGCGGTTTGAGTCCACCAGATGCTCTGCTGAAGGAGAGGCAATCTCCTTCTGTGCCAGTTGAATCTGATTCGACGGTACATAAAAAAAACCAAAACAAATGAAAAACAAAAACAAAAAAATCAACCCAAAATACCAACATCCAGAGTATGGATCATATAGGAAGAGAAATGGAAAAAGAGGCCAGAAACCTTGGTTGAGGCCAGCTTTAGTGGCAAGCTGAAAGGAAGATTCATCATGTCTTTGATGTTGTTGTTGTTATGCGCCATTGAGTCACTTGCGACTCATAACAACCCTATGTACAATAGCCCCGAAACCTGCTCTATCCGACAGACTTGCTGCCTCTGACATACCTACTCCCATTTCCCCAGTCACTGTATTAATCCATCTCATAGATTGTCTTCCTCTCTTTCTCTGTTGCTCCACCCATACAAGCATGATGTCCCTCTCCAAGGACTGGTTCCTCCTTGCAACATGTACAAAGTATGTCAGACGAAGCCTCAGAATTCTTGCCTCCAAGGAGCCACCTGGGTTTACCCTCTCTGGAATGAACCTGTTTGTTCTCCTAGCAGTACTCTTCTCCAGCACCACTACTCACAGGCATCAATTCTCTTTCTATCATTCCTAGTCAGTGTCCTGCTTTCTTATGCATAGCAAGTAATTGCAAAGGCTATGGCCTGGATCAGGCATACCTTAGTCTCCAGACTGACGTCGTTGCTCCCCTGTACTCTGGAGAGTCCCTGATAACAGACTTTCCTAATGCAATTCATCTTTTGATTTTCTGGTTGCTAGTACCAACAGTGTTGATTGTGGAACCTAGCAAACTAAAGCTGTTAACAATCTCAATATATTCACCATCCATCACAATGCTGCCAATAGGCCCAGTGGTGAGAATCTTTGTATTCTTGATATTGAGCTTCAATATATATTGAAGGCTGCAGCCCTTGACCTTCTGCAGCGAGCACTTCAGGTCCTCCTCAGTTTCAGCAAGCAGAGTTAGATCATCTGCATAATGCAAGTTGTTGATGTGTCTTCCTCCTGATGCCACATTCCTCCTCATCCAGACCAGCCTCCCAGATGATCTGCTCTGCATATAGGTTGAAAAGGTATGGAGATAGGACACATCTCTGGCATACACACTTCCCAAATTTGAACCATGCAGTGTTTCCTTGCTCTGTTCTGAAGACTGCCTCCTGGTCCAAGTATAGATTTCACATAAGCACAATCAAATGTTCTGTGATTACCATTCTTCTTAAAGTTAGCCACAGTTTGTTGTGATACACACAGTTAATTGCCTCTGCATAGTCACTGAAACATAGATATAAATTCTTCTGGTACCCTCTGCTTTCAGCAAAGATCCACCTAACATTAGCTATAATATCCCTAGTACCATGGCCTCTTCTAAACCCAGCCTGCACAACTGGCAGTTCTTGGCTGATGTTTTTGGATAATTTTCAGCAAAATCTTTGAAGTGTTAAAGTTGGGCCATGATGTGCCTGGATCTGTGTTTGAGAGTTATCCTTGGCAGTAATTTTGTCTGGGACATCAAATCAGAGAACCTTGTAAGCTTATTAAACTTCAGAATGCACTAATGCTTTGATCTATGAATGATATTTCTAAGAATAGTTTTACATTTATCTTCTAAGATGTATTTACAAGGATGTCCATTGCAGTGTTATTTATAATAGAAAATGCCTGAAAATAATCCAGATGACTACAGATAGGAGACTTGTTTACTTATGCAACACCCATAATTCATTATTCTGTGGCCCTGAGAAGAGTGAGGTAGCTCTGTGTGCTAACATCAGGCAACTTATGGGATACATTGTGAAGTGTAACAGTGAGGTCGAGAAGAGTTCATAGAGGATATCTTAGTTAAGTTACAAGACACACACTGATCCCTGGGAAGAAAATAGTGTCTTGGTTAAGATACAAACAGTGGAGATAGAATACTCAAATTAAAACTCTGACTTCATCAGTTCATAAGTGAACTGCACTGTTCACTAGATGTGCTTACCAAGTTGTGCCAAGAAATCTGGAG